ATAAAACTCTTATGATTTATATTAGTGTGTGTGTGCGTATTTATTGTTTGTTCTGTTATACTAATTATGCCTCTGTTTGTCCCAGCGTCACACATTTTCAAGGTATCTGGGTGATCGGAACAATGTGAAGAATTCAAAATCAATCGCACTATCCGTTCCGGACGTATTCGACATATCCTAGACCGAGGGGATTGAGGAGGTGGATACTGGCGTGGTCACTATGCGTCATATGGAGACATTTACGGGCGGATTTGCTAAAAGTTGGCACCCGCAAATAAAGAAGGGAGATAAGAAGCAACTGAAGCTTATGAGGAAGCGATACAGTTGCGTCATAGCTTGTGCCCCGAATAACGATCTGAAGGAAGACAACCTCACAACAGCAACTAGATATCACCAGCTACACTTGACGAAGAAGCAGTGTACCGCGTCGTGACTATTCGAGCAAATCTTGGAGCTACACTTGTTGAATTATAACTCGTTTTGGATCATCTGTGTATTCGTTTTTTTGTTGAAACATGATTATGGTGAAACGTCCGGACTAGTACTAAGTTTTTGCATCACGTGGGGGTTGTTTTTGATCTAGCACGATGGGTTGTTATTATGGTGGATATTGAAACGTTTGAATGCTTAACCTTTTGTGAAAACGTATTTTGTGGGCTGAAACACGTGGTCGTCTGATTTTCATTTTTATTTTATTTTTATTTTGTCGCATACAGCATTGTCGGCAGGTCATTTATTGGGTTATTATTTGTCTGTTGATTGTGTACGATGGCATATGTTTATACAGGTGTGATGAACATTCAAACATACAGTAATGTTGTGACCATTTTGAATTGCACATTGGTTACATATTGTGCGCATCAACCATTTGGAAGGTGCAACGTGCATCATATTATTGTGTTGTACGTTTATATTACTTGCATTGATACAACTTTATTGATTTTGAAATGTCCAGGATGTTATTATTTTATCTAAAATATCCATGTACGAATATATGATAAAACGCATCATACACGATACAACATACATGACATAGCACTGAATACAAATCGATAGGGCCGTTATTCATGTTGTGCGAACGCATATAAATAAATGTGCACCACTACGTATGATAATGTGCACTATACTGAATGCAGACCTGTTAGGGCCATTGTTCATAGTGTGCGAACGCATAAAAATAAATGTGCACCACCATGTTTGATAATGTGCAATACACTGTTATTGTGGACGTTGGTTACACCCAACAAATATATAACTGACATGCGATGATAATCATCGACCAATAACAAATAAACAAAAATATAATAATAAATAAATAAAACAATATCAAACATTATAATGTTTCACATAGAAAGATAATGGTAATGTTCAATAATTCCATGTACGACTGTCAGCCAAACAAATGATTGTCTATATCATTTAGGAAAAAAAAAAACAATGAGAAGAAATATGAAGAAACATCCAATTGTAGAATTTTATCTGAAAAATAAAAAACCCCATCAAGCTCCCGTCGCTCCTGTCACCCGTGCCTGCATATAAATTTTACTATATGTCAATATTTACGTCTCCTATTTGTTGTGCAATATACTAGTATAAGATTCGTACATGCAATGAATGTAACATATAAGTATTATGATGTAAAACATCAGTGTATTTCTATATAACTGATTTCATGATTATAAGCAAAATAATAATAATAATAATAAAAATAAAATATTTAATTCATGATACACTAATTTCCATATTGAACGTACAAATACTTCAACAATATGTGTATATTTACCTAAGTATCGCTTGATTTGCACGCTTGGTGCTTCTTTGGGCATGTGCGTGCATTATGTCCCGCTATTTCGCCGCACGACTTGCAAGTCCGTCTTTTCTTTTGTGACCCTTCAATTGCCAGTTCCTTCGCACTCTTTAGTCTTTTGCCGCTTCCTTTGTTTTTCGAACATGTTGGAGGGTGAATGTTTATTTCTTGTGGAGCAGCCATTCCAACAAACGATTCGAATCGGCGTTTTTTACCAATGGTATCCCCTTCATGTGCACTCAACAGCTTACTCTTGTAAGATTCAATGATCTCTGAAAACTCGATAAGACGATCGACATGAGGCTCTACTAATCCCACACATATATGTATATCAGACCATAATTTGCTCAATATGTATTTTGTTTCATCAACTCGTGCACATTGTTCGGTGACATTGTCGAGAACGTTGAACATTTGATTAATAGTAGGTTGCCTCGTCCATCTCGAGATGATATGTCCAGACGGTATAAATTTGAAGTTCAAGTCTTTGAGCACGACGAATACATGTCTACACAACAATCCGTACAGTTCAAAGTGCTTGCACGAACATGTAGACGTAGTTAGGACCACATCGTGAATAACCGTGAATGTCTTACCATCAGTATCTTTGATTGTGAATTCCATTAGTCCACTGCTCTCTGTTAAGTTCATTACATGACAATTGAAACACGCTGCACATATCTCATCCTGGACACGATAGAAATATGACGTCGTGTAAATAGACCGTGCGTGCTTCTCAATCGGCAAGGGCGTCTTAATCTCAGCCATTTGTGATTCACCTTCACTTTGTAGCTTAATCGAGGTGTTTCGTTGGGCATCCATTGCGCTGTCGAAATGTAGTAAGAATTCGACTAAACTAGAATGGTTGTTTGTGAAGTGACCAAACCAATGGTTCTCGCTTTCCGATCTAGACGTAGTTCTCATTAACCCGCTCATCCCAACATCCCTGAAAAATGTTGGGATCCAGTACTCCCTCTTTGCAAAAAGGTCAATAAACCAATTGTGAGTATCCAACTTATATTCTTCCATTATGGCTGACCATTTAGTTTCAAAGTCACCAGGCTCTACAGTCCGATCCCAAACAATTTCATGCAGCCTTCGTTTAAACGCCGCATCGTTATTTATCGAATGACCGACTTTGTCGCACAATTTATTCATTATGTGCCACATACAGAAACGGTGCTTGCAAGTCTCGAACACCTTAGGAAATGCAATTCCAATTGAGGGATCTTGGTCGGTGATGATGTATTGCGGCTCGTGAATCATGGCTTTTTTAAAACTCTTGAACACCCATGTATACGAGTCGATGTCTTCT